ACCCTCATGTTGTTCCAAACCTCTATGTGTTTACTTTTTCTGCTGAACACAAAGGAAGATATTTGGAAGAATGTTTTAATCAAACAGATCTCATTCCCCATTCACTACCATAGTATGTATTTTTTCCTACTATGGTAGTCAATGGGGAATGAGATCTGTTTGATTAAAACATTTTTCCAAATATCTTCCTTTATGTTCAGCAGAAAAAATAAACACATCCAGGTTTGGAACAACATGAGGGTGAGTAAATACTGACAGAATTTTCATTTTTGGGTGAACTAACCCTTTAATAAACTCTTTCAAAATGCGTTAGGAATGGGTTCCAAGACTGAAAAATGTGTCCATTTGACTGGTGCAGAGTTTCTCCATTTGTATTATGGATAGCATATCAATGACCCATGCCTGAAAGGAAGAAGGGGTGGGGGACTTCCATTCCCTCAATATCAGTCTCTTGGCAACTATCAATCCCAGTTCCAATGGTTGCCGCATTATAACTGTCCGGAATTGTCCTTGATGCTTGAGAGCAGCCGAAAATAGTCCAGCCTCGGGCTGAAGGGGCCTCTGATATGATTTGGAGTACCAGTAAATGTAATGCTTTTAAGTATTTAAAATTCTGTCATAAATCAAATTGGGGCTTTGGTGTCATACTCAACCCATTCTCACTCTAGAAGTAGGAAAAACGCTATCACTCACAATGGTGTGGAAATATTGTATTTCTTGTTTTTAAACCAAACAGTCAGACATGGAGTCTGGTAACATGGAAACTTGTGGATTGATGTGACATGGGGCCCTCTCAATATTTTCACAGCTTTAACACGGATCCATTAGCCCCATTTGTTCAAATTAACATCATAGTGTTCTGACAGTGAGTGCACTACATAAATGCTTTGTGGAACAATGTGCAGTAGCTTTCTTTTATACGTATATAAGTGTGTCTTGATTGAAGTGCCATTTGCTTTTCAATGAAATCCACAATGCATGATCCTCCTTCCAGAGATTTGATCGTTATTATACTTGTTAGCGCCAATTTTATTTATATCTATTCATTAATCGGACACTACTCATAGGGGAGAGGCCATATTATGCAAGATTTTTACCCAGTGAATATTTCAATTTGTCAATTTCTCTATAGGCACGCGTAATCTAAAAAACGTATTGCAGTAATAATCTCAGAATGAGAAAGTAAGTAACCACATCTAAATCTAAATGATGTATCTAAAACGTCCAATATAACATATTTTCCATTAAATATAGCCTGAAATGAATGTGAAGAATGTTCTGATAAGCAAACATAGAACCATTTAATCATAGACATGTATGCTTCAAGCTGCTCTCACAATCATAATTAGAGATATAATTACAGGTAATTGCTCTCGAGACCCTATATGCAGAAGTTTTGGAGGCCCACATGCTCTCATGGTGAAAGCTGGGAAGGAGGCTGTATGGAGACATTATTGTCTCCATACAAGCTTTTCTTCAGCACTACACTTTAGTCTCAGAATATCTCACATATTTGGATAAGTGGGCAGCCAAAATGCTTGATGGTCTGTGCTCTCAGCCTCTATGGTTTCATGCTTACAATGACAGGATATGGGGTTAGAGCAACATCCATGTTCTACACCTCCTTTCAACCTTTTTTTTTAGTTCAGCTAAAAGCAACACCATTTTGTGTGTATGTGTGTTAGAAATGTGGTCGATGCTGTTTCCTCTTTTAAAGGTTGCTTCCTGTTTTATTTAGTTTTTGCAAACTTTTAAAAGGTAAATTTGTTGTAATATAAAAGGTTTTGCTGACTGTCAGGATTATGTTCTGTTTTCTGTTTCATTGTGACTCGGGCTCTGTCGCCCCCTCTATACACTTTAATAGGGCTCAATTTGAGGGGACAGACATTTTATCCGAAGCCATAGTGGACGTTATCGAGTGCCCTCATTCAATACCACAACAACGAGCCTACAACTGATGTATCCTCAACGGCTAGAGAATACCCATAATGCACTGTGATGGTCATGTCATTGCTGAATCATTCATCCATCCATTTTCCAACTCGCTGAACTGGTCCAGTGTGGCTACAATGTAATATTTATTTATTATATTTATTTAACAGGGACAGTGTATGGCATGCAGCCATACCAGAATTAGCTACAAGCTAAATTTCATCTGTCACAATATCACACAGGTGTACATTTAATTTTTTACTTGATTATAAATTAAGGTTTATACATGCTAGTTTCCATTACAAAGTTCAGGATAAACCTTTCCATTACTACTCGAGCTGGCAGTCTTGCTAAGTTTCAAATAGTTATTAAATGGCAAGCACAAACAATCTAAAAGTGCCAGCCTTTAAGCGGTGCAGTCAGTGTCCCAATTCACTAGCTCATTTCATTCACTCCTTCAAGTGGAGTAATGTAGGGAACAGTGAATGATTTTGAACACAGCCCCAGTTTCCCAGCGTGTTTGATTGTTGTATTCAGTTCACCTGTTGTCGATTAATTTGCTCATTAGTTTCTTGTTTGGTTTAGTATTTATACTCCTGTGTTCCTGCGGTCTGTCCTGTCTCCATCTGTGTTATTGTCTGTTTCCCTGAGTTTTCATGTGAGTTTTGTGGATGAAAGACTGTTTCTGTGAATCACTCATCTCAGTGCGCTTAATACTATTACCATTTGTGACGGAAGAGAGGACCAAACAGTAGTGATGGGGAAACCAAGGCTTTCTGAAGCTTTTGAGGCTTTCATCAAATTCGAAAAAAAAAAGGTTCATTACTCAAAGCTTTTAACGCAATGCACATTCATGACATCAGGGGCCCGTTTCAGTAAGGAGGTTCAACCAACTCTGAGTTAAAGCTTGAACTCTTGAGTTGACTTACCCTGAGATGGGAAACTCTGAGTTTTCGGTTACAGAACAGCTGAAATTAGTTAGTTCAATCAACTCTGAGTTGATTGACTCTGAGTTAAGCGCGTGCACCACAACTATAAAAAGCCATTATCAATGGAGCTCAGATATTAGGAGTCACCATGGCAACAGCGTCAGACAAAAAAAGGTGCATATTTCTCACCAGTGGAACTGGATGTGCTAATGCAAGCATATGCAGAATTTGAACATGTATTTAAAAAAAAGCAACACGGCTGCCGCGGCGAAGGAGAGAGAGTTAGCTTGGGAGAAAATAGCTGCTTGAGTCAATGGGTAAGTTTACATTTTAATTACTTTTATACAGTGTTGGATGTAATGATTTAAGTTACTAAATCATCTAAATACTGTAATTAAATTAAAGACTATAAAACAATTGTGTATAAAACAATAGTGGATGTAATATCAAATTTTAAAAGGTATATTTTTAATTTAACTTTCTCCCTCTAGTTACACAGTTTGATCAATTTAAGAATAATTTATGCAATTGTATATTGTTTATTTGAAAGCATTAGAAGTGCAGTTTCTTGTCTCTCCTTGTATTGTTCAAGTGGTTTAGGTTAATTTGGGATTTAGAAAGAAATTAATAAGTAAGTAAAACAAATTAGGAAGTAGACCATACTTTCTAGAGATAGTAATTATTGCATTAATCTAAATATACTTTTTGAAGGTAAAATTTATAGTTAGTAATTAAGAACTATTTTAGAGTAACTTACCCAACTGCTATAATATCAGAGGTGAAACTGGAAGAACAGTATTTTATTAAACCTAATTTAATTTTCATGGATAGGTGCAATCCTGCAGGCATAAAAAGAACATGGCAGCAGCTGAAAATGAAATATAAAAGCATACTTCAAGCAGGTAAGCCTTGAGCCCATCATAGGAGTAGAGTACCTCGCTTTACAAACATTTGACATATTAAATGACTAAATAGCATTCAGTGTCTAGCAGTGCCGCAGCATTTTTGACATAGGTCTAAATATTCATTCTCATTTGACTTCTACTCAGCCAACAGAAAGAAGGCAGAGGCTCGCAAAACGGGGAGGACCTGCACCACCACCTCTGTCAAATGCAGAAGAGATGGCCCTGAGCCTAAATGCTGGAAGGCCAATGGCTGAGGGAATTCCTGGAGGGACTTCATCAGAGCCAGTCACTCCAGAAGACTTAAGTGCATTCATAAAATGTAAGAGATCTACCTACAGTATGTGTAATTTTTTATATAGACTAAATGTGATATTTACATTTATATTACTTTGGGTTGGGTTTTTTGTTGGTCCCAACAGATTCTGATGGTAATATCTGCCTCTTGGAGCCTCCTGTCCCAATAGTACCCCATACAGTTGTCAGTAGCCTACTCCATACACCATCAATTATGACAAATAGAATTATAAAGTGTACTCTATTAAATGCTCATCTTCACAGGATGATGGGGATGAAGAAACCATTTCTGCTACCACAGACAGGCCTACAGAGGTAATTTTAATATTATATGTTTACATATCAAACAATTTACACATTCACATTTATATGTGGAGTAGCCTATAGAATCTAAGTTTCTATATGGTTATTCTTATCTCTACCCCCAGAGTGTGGAAGAACAGCAGGAGGAAGGTCCATCAACTTCTGGTGCACAGATGAATACAGTTCAGTGATTTACAGTAAATGCCACAGTTTAATTCGGAATTTTAGACTACATTCATGATGTAACTCTAATCTAATGTATTTTCAGTTGCCAGTTAAGGAGTTATATAGACTTCTTCTTATTAAAAAGATAGAAAAAAAACAGCAAAGAACTTGTATACTTGGACCGCCAGATCCAAAAGGCAGATCTGGAAATCGACATTCTGAAACTAAAGCTAGAGGTGAGTGTATGGTCACAGGTGCATTCTAGGAAGTATTGTAACTATTTTAAAATCCTTTTTTTTTTTTTTTTTTTTAGCAAATGAAGAACACCATATAAATTGCTGTGATTTTGTTTATTAATTATTTTATTTTGTGGTTGCATTTCTATGAAATAAAGAACACCATAAATTGCTGTGATTTTGTTTTTATTCTTTTTTTTTTTTTTTGGTGGTGGTGGTGGTGGATATCATGTGTATTAATCTGAGAAGACATTGCAGCATATCATATCCCAGACTACCCTTCCATCCTGGAAATCTGCAGGGTTGATGGGGTCTTCCTCAGGGTCTTGTAATTGTAGGGCAGGGTGTTGCTCCCCTCTAATTATGGCAATATTATGGAGAACAACACATGCCACAATAATGTCGCAGGCCCTTTCAGGGGTTACCCTGAGGTGACGTAGGCACTGGAAACGTGCTTTCAACAGGCCTATGGTCATCTCCACCCGGGCTCTTGTCCTGCAGTGTGCCACATTGAAGCGCTGCTGTGGGCCTGGTTCAGGTTCTGGGTAAGGGGTCATAAGATTTGGTCGGCATGGGTAACCCCTATCTCCCAGCAGAAAGCCATCAATCTCTCCTGTAAGAAAGTTCACATTGCTTTAGAGCTGCATAGAAATTCCCCTGTAAGTGTTTAGTGCATACATTGAAATATGTGTATAGGATATATATTTACTTACCCCTTTCCAGTCTGTTGTTCAGGGTTGACTCCCGATAGATTCTTAAGTCATGAACAGAGCCGGGCCACTTGGCCTCCACATTTGTGATTATATGTGCAGCATCACATATGATCTTGACGGTGCAAAGAATGAGAGATGTTAAAATTGTGGTGTAGTCTTTGACCATTAGAAACAGTAGGCTGTCAGTGTACCTGCACATTAATACTGTGGATGGATGTCCTGTTCACATAGTCTGCTTCATTTTCAGAAGGTGCAATAATCGGAATATGTGTGCCATCAATGCATCCAACCACATTTGGAAATCCTAAAGGGAATTCTAGCAAGATATTATAACTGAGTGTAATTTATCAGGTTAGCCTCATTTAAACACTAAACATTTAAACAGATTTATACACCACTGACCTGCAATCCTGTGAAACTCCTCTTTGATGACTCTCACTGGTTTGTGCCCAGGAAACAATACAAAAATTCTCAGAAAGCGCTTAAGAGCGAGGCACACTTTCCTTACTGCTCTCCAAACAGTAGCCTTACTAATATGTTCTGCATCCCCGATGTTATAAAGAAAACTTCCATTCGCAAAGAAACGTAAGGCAACGCAAAGAATCTGCTCGGGTGTAAGAGCACGGCCGCGATGGTTGATGTTTCTGATGTAAGGATGGATGAGATTATGGATGTACCTTATTGACTGTAACGAAAAACGGTAACGCTCAAATAAAAACGAATAGGGATATGACAAAAAATCCACTCTGGGCCTCAAAATCCTCTCCCGACGTAAATGTAACTCCCTACGAAGTAATACTGCCTCTTCGTCAACAGGATCATCCATAAAAGGACATGCCATTTCATACCCTTTGATGCGCTCTGCGTGACTAAAATGTGCGCAATGAATATGTCCCCAAAGAATCAATGAGGTGTTTAAACACCACTTCCTCTTTAAAAAAGAAAGGGGAGGAGACCAAAATAAACTCTGGGTTTTCTGAAGAAAACCTGCTCCCGACCAGGTTAGGTTCACAGAGTAAGTTGCCATGGTAACTGACTCTGAGTATAAGTTACCTCTCTTTCAGAAACGGGCTTGACTTACCCTGCTTTCTCAGGTTCAACTTACCTCCCTTTCTGAAACAGAAAACTCAGAGTTTCCCTCATTTCAGGGTTAACATACTCAGAGTTTTCACTTAACCTCCTTTCTGAAACAGGCCCCTGGTGGTCAGACCTGTTTGCTTTACCATATCTAACAAATCAGTGCAGAACAGAAAAAGCATGTGACCAAACAAAGCTTCGGAAGTCTGTGACATACCAGAGTGGATTCAATACAGTCCTATCTAATCTCATCTAAATTAATTTGAGCCAATGAGATGATGTGTCATGTGTAGCCTGGTCAACGGATTCACAATTTGATCAATGATATAAAATATTAATCAAGTATGTAAATCAAAAGTGTGTGATCATAATTATAGTAATTGTAATTGAAAAAAATATTTTGGATGGTCCATTTTTTTAAAGAATATCATTTATTTTATGGGGAAGTGTAGTGTTAAATCATTTAAACAACGCCTACTCGATAACCCGTTTTATGCATCAGTTGGGGTTGCAAAGTGCCAATTTTTTTCAAACCAGCTGTCCCGACCTTTTCAAAACTGCATGATCTTTGAAGCTTCAAATGTCATCAATCACGTGGAATGAGACGCAAGTCATCGAGTGGAGTTTAATCGCACTAAACACACTCCACATCCAGAGACCAGCCATCCGCCACAGACGACCCACACAATGGACTTGCAAGTTCCCCCGCAGGTTGTGGAGATCGGCCTGCTGTGACTGACAAGCCAGAACCTGCAAAGAAGACAGAAGGAATCGTTGCCCCGGAGCCTGAACCACATGATAAGTCTGACTAGGTGCGTTACCAGGCAACAACGTGCATCTCCAAGGGAGTATTAGTGAAGAACAAGGGAATGGAGGAAAGCCCCACCCACAACCTTACCGCTGTGGATGTGATTGACATGGCCTCTGGATGTGTTCAAAGAGGTAATTCCCCTGTTTTTCTGCTGGTTCTGCCCAGCCCTGAATTGCTTGTTTCCCTGCTGGTTCCACCAGGCCCAATGTCATCTGTGATCCCTCTCAGCTTCACTTTCCGGCCTCCGCTGACAGCCAGTTCCTCTCTGCTGGCTCCCTTCAGCCCCTCTGAATCTCCTACACCATTCTGGGTGGATCTGCTGCCTCTGAGCTTTAGGTCATCAGCTCCATCTAGTATGAAGGATTCCCTTGCTATATCTCCAGCCTCAGGACCCATTGCTCCACCTCGGTCTGTCGATCTACCTTAGCGCCTCCCTTCCACGGCTCTGCCAAAAACCATCATCCTGACAGCTTCAACAGGCTTCCTTGTCCCACAAGCTCTGCCTTGGTCAGACATCGTCCTACCTGCACCTTCGGCTCCATCTCCGTCTTCCCCCCAGCTCCACCTTCGTCCTCCATCCCATTGGCTGCCCCTCAGTCCTCAGATTCCCTGGTTCCACCTCGGACTCCTGTCTTTGCGATGTTGCGTGGGCACTTCAGCTCATCATCTCCACCTGGGTCTCTTTCTCCAGCGGCTACATCTCCATCGGTCTTAATATTTGCCCTGGAATATTTGTTTTTTTTTTGGGGTTCACTCCCTCCTTCAGAGCCCCTGCTCCTTCCCAGTGTATTTGATTGTTGTATTCAGTTCACCTGTTGTCTATTAATTAACACATTAGTTCCTTGTTTGGTTTACTATTTATACTTGTTGTTTTCCTGCTGTCTTTGTTCTGTCTCCATCAATTAATACTATAACCACCTTTGACACTGACAATGCTTTACAATGTGTTATATTGTTCTACAAATGCCAGTTACATCTGAGTAGAGCTTGTGATTAAGAAGGGGCGGGAAAATGCCTAAACACGTACTCAGCGCTGGTAATAACAACACACTGAGCCAGCTAACCAATCACAGCACATTTTATATTTCGAAAGGAGCGGATTCATCCAAAATGACGCGTTTGACCAGACTGGGGAGAGAGGAGCCGTAATAATGTAAAATATGTTTTTTTTAATCGTTTTTTGAGCAATCAAGCATGAATCATATTCTAGAACACCCCAAAACCAAAATCCAGACTTTATAAAAGGGCATAATAGAACCCCTTTAAATTATACTGTTTACATTAACATGTTCATGTTTAAAGGGTTAGTTCACCCAAAAATGAAAATTAAGTTATTAATTACTCACCCCCATGCTGTACCAACCCCGTAAGACCTTCGTTCGTCTTCGGAACACAAATGAAGATATTTTTGATTAAATTTGAGAGCTGTATAACTACCACATTGGCTCCTAAGGGACTGCCTCTTGACGGCCCAAAAAGTCAATGAAGAAAATGTTTAAATATCCCAAGTGACTACCGTGGCTCAACTATATGTTTATCAAGCGACGCGAATACTTTTTGTGCGAAAAAACAAACAAAAATAACGAGTTTATTCGACTATTTCTTTTCCTCCTTGTAGGCCAGAACGAGACTTCCTTATAGATTTCCACGACGCATGCGCGAGAATTGCGATCTAAGCTGGTGTAAGCTGGTGTGAGCAGATCGCAAATCTCGCGCATGCGTCGTGGAAATCTAAGGAATTCTCGTTCTGGCCTACAAGGAAGAAAAGAAATAGTCGAATAAACTCGTTATTTTTGTTTGTTTTTTCGCACAAAAAGTATTCGCGTCGCTTGATAAACATATAGTTGAGCCACGGTAGTCACTTGGGATATTTAAACATTTTCTTCATTGACTTTCTGGGCCGTCAAGAGGCAGTCCCTTAGGAGCCAATGTGGTAGTTATACAGCTCTCAAATTTAATCAAAAATATCTTCATTTGTGTTCCGAAGACGAACGAAGGTCTTACGGGGTTGGTACAGCATGGGGGTGAGTAATTAATGACTTAATTTTCATTTTTGGGTGAACTAACCCTTTAAGCAATAAGGTATGAGTGGCCATATTTTGAGAATACCCATGTCAAAATGTGTTATACAGTGTACACAGTTTCAACTTGACAAAAAATCAAACAGAAAAAACACCATTCACCTCAAGCATGATATTTTATGTCTTCTCACTAAGACTACATTCACACTGCAAGCCTTAGGGCACAATTCTGGTGTATTGTATTGTTTGGATCTGATTTTCTTGTTTGGCTTTTGGATTTTTTTTTAATGTGGCCAATATCAGTTTTTTGCTTCTATATAGCTGCACCATAATAATTATGAGACACGCTTCACTGACTACCTTTGCAGTTGTCTTCCATATTAACTCAATTGATTAGATTTTCCATTATTTATGAAAAACACTTCCCTGTCATTGACAAAGTTTGTCTTTCCATGTTTTCACTGTTGTACGGTAGGGGCAAATGGAAGTGGCTCAAATTAGTATAAGTATATACAGTATACACTCACCTAAAGGAATTATTATTATTAGGAATTATTATTATTATTATTAGTAATACCTATATTCAATTCAAATACCTATTCAATGCATTTAGGGGTGTGGTCTTGGCCAAGAAAATCTCCTGAACTCCAAACTGAATGCCAGAATGGGAAAGAAATTTTGAGCATGGCATGGTTGTTGGTTCCTGATGGGCCAGTCTGAGTGTTTCACAATCTGCTCAGTTACTGGGATTTTCACGCACAACCATTTCTAGGCTTTACAAAGAATTATGTGAAAAGGGAAAAACCAGCATGCGGCAGTCCTGTGGCCAAAAATGCCTTGTTGGTGCTAGAGGTCAGAGGAGAATGGGCCGACTGATTCAAGCTGGTAGAAGAGCAACTTTGACTGAAATAACCACTCGTTACAACCGAGGTATGCAGCAAAGCATTTGTGAAGCCACAACACGCACAACCTTGAGGCGGATGGGCTAAAACAGCAGAAGACCCCACTCATCTCCACTACAAAAAGGAAAAAGAGGCTACAATTTGCAAGAGCTCACCAAAATTGGACTGTTGAAGATTGGAAAAATGTTGCCTGGTCTGATGAGTCTCGATTTCTGTTGAGACATTCAGATGGTAGAGTCAGAATTTGGCGTAAACTGAATGAGAACATGGATCCATCATGCCTTGTTACCACTGTGCAGGCTGGTGGTGGTGGTGTGATGTTTTCTTGGCACACTTTAGGCCAGTGGCGTAACTTTGTTTTAAAAAGTGGGTGGGACATGTGTGTAAATGAATGAATCACGTGACACGTGAATAAAAACATAGATCCGACTTTACAACATGTCCAGTGGCAGTGGAAATAGCCTATACAGAAAGTCCTGTAAAATTAAACGAATAAATTGACCTAATAATATGAATAAAAATTATATAAACAAAAATATACATAAAAGTTTTAAAAGTAAATTAACTATTAGGCCAGAATTTTGATAACTGATTTTTTGCGGAACGCGCACGATTAAAATTTAAATTGGCTTATTGTACACACAAACTGCTATACAATAAAAACGAATAAATGGGCCCAATAATATAAATAAAGATAAAAAAGTGTATAAGCAAAAACGTAAAGTAATAAAAGAATAAAGGCCTACATAAACATTTTAAAAGTAAATTTAAAAAGTAAATTAACTATTAGGCCAACATTTTGATAGCTAAACTTTTGCACAGCGCGCACAAATAAAATAAAATTATGCTTATATCAATTGTACAAAAAAAAATGCTGTAAAATTAAACGAATCATTGAGCCTAAATATATATAAATAAAAATATACAGGCTATAGGCCTACTGTAGGCTACATCAACGTTTTAAAAATATGCTAAATGAACTATTAGGCCAAAATTCGTATAACTGAACTTTTGCGCAGAGTGCACATGGTCCGGATTACAATTTAAATGGCTTATGTTGTCAAACCTTTTAAAAAAAAAGAAAGAAAGAA